GGAGGGGGGGGGGGTGGGCTGCAACGGCTATAAGGAGATTGAGATTCGAACTGGCAAGTGAACGTTGGAGGGGTTTGCTTCGCGATGCGGGCTTTGATTACTTTTTGTACCGTTGCCAGACAAAAAGTTTCGAAAAAATAGGAAGGAATTCTTGAGATCTGTACTCTTGAGATCTGTCTAATTTATTGAAAAGATAGTGAAACGGTTTTAATGCGAATTCGGTAATTTTCCAAAGAGTTCATGTTCTCTGGCAAGCGGGGAAAAAAAAAAAACTTCCGCCTGCTAGCAAAGCCTTCATCTCAAAGAGCTCCATAGTTCTGGCACATATAACAAGCCGACATTGCTTACATCAAACCTGACTTCAGTTCAGCTATCGAAATCTTACATCGTCTCTGAGACAAGTTAAGGTGTCCAGTTCATTGTTCGTTCATGCTAGCTCCAAAACTTGCCAGCAACAGCAAAACAAAAAACAGAGGCATTCTATCTAAATTCGTGTCGGCGTCCTTGTCGGATAACTGTACAAAAGGGAAGGCATGCACCCCTTTAGGCCGGCCCAGGTCAAGCGGTGCTCCACCTGGGCATCATCGCGCTGCTCGTCTGAGCCTCCCACCAGGCGCTGAACACCGACGGCTCCTGGAACTGCCGGTACCCCTCCTGCATGGACCTGCCATTCCCGACCAGGCCGCGCGCCGCGAACCCCATGAGCTCGGAGGCATCCGTGCGGCGGCTGAACCAGTGCGGGACGCGAGAGATTGGAGAAAAAACGCTCTGTTCCTCCTCGAGGCGCGGCTCGGGCTCTGCCTGCTTTGCTGGAGAGGCACTTTGTTCCGCCAGGAGAACTTCGTGCTGGATCTGCTTTGGTGGCGGCTCCTGGGCCGACGAATGTTCGGCTGACGACAGCATGTTCCCTATGCCGAACGACTCCCAGTCGACCTGCTGCCACACCTTGTACCCGTCGTTGACTGTATCATTGGCCACATGACGGTTTTGGAGCTCGGCCTTCTGCTCTGCCGCCAATCTGTCAACCTCCACCTTGAGTTGCTGCAGCCGCTGCCCAATCCTTTCGGTTACTTTGTCATACAGGTCACCTCTAGAAATATGTTGGGAGTCGTTACTGTTCTCAGCCATCAGGTCGTCAAAGTTGATTGGGTCACCAACAACCACTATCACCTAGAGAATCAAATAAATAGCTCAGTATTCAGCTAAATTCCATGTGACAATAATAAATACGAGTTGCATATATAGGGGCACACACCCTTTTGCCTGTTCTTGGGATACGTTTCCCAACAGGCATTATGTCTTGCATCCCAGTATGAACAAAGGGGACAACAACCGGTAGGCTGTCAGCATCCATTATCAATCTGGTAAAGAAGAAAAAAGAGAAATTAAATAGGTGCACCTCAACAATGGACTACAAAGTGTTAAAACACCCAAAGTTCAGATGAACTGATGTGCATATGCAGAATGCAGGATTTTAAATACAAAAATAAGTTGAGACTGAGTTTCTATTCATCGCAGACAGTACAAGGAAATAAACTTCTAACCTTCCAACACCTCTCTTAGCAGGAGCAATGGTTTTCCCTCCGTCCCTTGAACGACTTCCTTCAGGAAATATGTGAACCCATCCGCCATTATTAAGCTTCGACAGCGCCATATCCATTCCCTAAACAACAACAAAAAAGAGTGGTGTTTTGTGAAGAAAAAACTCAAGAGACTCAACCATGTACAGGCATACTGCATCCACTCTATTAATTTCAGAGGTAGAACCAGGAAAAATGGTGTGCAGTCTACAGTGCTCAGTTAAGACCCTTAGCAGATTGGAGCACTGATCCAAACATACAATGTCATTCACTTGTCAAACCTCTTGTGAATTTCTAACAGCGATGAGGCACTAGATATTATAGGTACTAGCTCAAAACTTTGTTTTGAATACAAGGATGTAGCATGCTAGTGGTTAAGTTCATGGTCTTAATATAATGATGGGAAGTTTAACTGAGCTAGGCAAAGCCCAGTGAGTATCTCCCAACAATGTGACACTGGTTTAAATGGCACCATTAGTCAAAAAAACTAAATATCAACATTTCTCCAAGTATATACCATAAATAAACTGGTTTACCAACATCAAAATTTGCATGGCCAATCTACTGCACACATACCTGAAATAAATAACTTTAGACCCCTACATACGGTAAACAAAATGTATCTCATACCTTTTGGTAGATGCCTTCACCACGGTTAACAGGCAACACTTTAACAGACCTGAAGAACGTGGACAGAACTGGATTTGTAAAGCAACGATCAGTCGCACATAGTGTCCATCTCAGCTTTTGTGCTTCCAACATAACAGATGGTGGCAGAAGGGAGGCAATCACAAAAGGGTCATCCATAGCAGCCACGTGATTGCTGACCTAGGATTATAAAAATGATAGAAGCATAGTGTGATTAGAAGAATGCATAGTGGAGAAATATGCAGTTAGGAAGAAATGCGGTATGTAAAACTTGACTAATGTTCAAAAGTTAAGCGATGCCACAATTCTTAAGAGAAAATATGCAGGTCATCGTCTTCTAAAAGAACATATACCACCAATTCACCACTTCAGTACAAGTTGCAGTCATATAAGAGTATGGATTTATGACTACTAGCGACCTTCAGACAACATGTCATGCAATGAAATGGAGTAACATTTTGCAATTATTCGACCACATGAGCACATACCGTTAGCAGAGGCTTGTCTTTAGGCCTCTCTTGTAACGCCTGCTGAAGTTTCTCTGCACCATAAATCTGCACAACTTGACAGGTTAGCAGAAGCCTGTGCACTCGAATTCGGACAATCAATCACTCTTGAGCTACAATACCTGGACAGAGTTAAGGCCATGCATAAAAACATGGCAAGCATTCCCGATAAGAGGAACGGCCAGCGCTTGGAGCGAGCGGAAAATCACGGAGTCTTCGACCCCGTTAACTTCTTTGCCCACTGCATTGACAAAGTGATGCGATTTAGAAACTGGTGCAATGAGGGAAACAGTATTCCCCCTCGTATCATGAGAGTAAGATAAAGGATACATCACCAGGACGGAGCGCCACATTTATCATCTCATTAGGCTAAATCAGATTGTTATGGACTCAGATAGTAGTACAAAGGATATTACCAACAACGGTGACATCAAACAAGCATTCGTTTCGCAATGGTTTTTGACATGGAGCTATGAGACCAGTGGCACCAGAGAAGAGATTGGCGTACCTTTCTTCCTGTAGAACTTGAAGGCGCTATAGGAGGGCTTCGCCGCCGCGGCGGCGCTGGCGTCCGGGGAACCGGGGCCCTGCTGCTGGTCGGGTCCCTGATTCTGCTTGTCCCGCTGCAGGATGGCGCGGAGGCGGTCGGACCACTGGCGCACGGCCTCGGAGGCGGCGCGGCCCTCGGGGCGGCGCCAGAGCCAGCGGCGGTCGACGGGCGCCACGCGGAGGCGGTTGCGGATCTGGGCCCCGACGGCGCGGGCCCCCTCCGCCCACGGCACCCCGCCGCCGGCCGCCATAGAGGGGTTGGCCATCGAAGAATGGTCAGCAAGTTAGGGTTTGCTCGGTCGCGAGTGCCGCTCAGCTCGGTTCCGTTCCGATCCGCGCCGGTATCAAATCGACTTTGATGAAAAAAATCAAGCGGAAGAAAGAAGCCGGCCCTGCTCTTGGGGTGGAAGAAAGGAATGTGGTGGTGGGTCCCGGGGCGCAGTGGGCGCGAGGAATGGAGTGGCTGGGGCCCGGTGGCAGCGGGAGAATGGTGGGAGTGGGTTCCGATAAGGACGCTGCTCGGGGAGTCACAGTCCACGTCATCCACGACGGGGACGTGGCTGGATGATCGAAAATTCTAAATCCAACTCCACCGCATGACCCCAAACGGACGTCCGTTTCGTCCCGATTTCGTCCGTTTGGAATGGCAATGAGGAATTCTAGCCTCACCCCCTGCCCACGCCCGAGCTCGCCACGCCCGGCCTGCGCCTGCGCCGGCCCGCGTGGCCACTCCCGCGGCGCCAGCCCGCCTCCCGTGCTCGCCCATGCCTCGCTCTCTCGCCGGGGCCACGCCGGCCAACGCGCCCGTGCCGCGTCCGAGCTCACCATGCCCGCAGCGCCGCCCCGCCTCCCGTGCTCGCCCATGCTTCGTTCTCTCGTCGGGGCCACGCCCGCCAGCGTGCCGCCGCCGCGCCCCCAGCAGCGTCGGCCCTGCCGCATTTTGCCGAGGAGTCGCCGCTGCTGTAGCTACTATGACGAGGAGAGAGAGAGAAAAAAAAGTGAGAGAGAGACCGATGGGAGGCCTGAGTGGGTGACCAGTGGGTCCAGGCGCGGACGAGAAAGCGTTCACTTGATGTCCGCTCGACCGCAAAGCCGAACTAAATTTGGGCTCGGGATGGGGCAAAGCGGACCAAAAGCGGACATCTTTTTACGAATGGGGTTGCGCGTTCAACCACTTCATTTATCCGTTTAGATCCAAACGGACAGACCTAGACGTTTTGGAGTCACGGCGAAGATGGCCTAAACG